TCCAATTTCTCAAAGAAAATATTTTTGAAAGATAATTCTAAATTATCATAGAAAAATCTTTAAAAAGATAAATCTAGTTAATTAAATTCTACAATCTAAGATTTAGGATTTAAATTAATATTATCTCATCCAAAATTTCAAAAACATCATTATCTTCCAATAATCTTATTAAATCTAATTTACTCTGAATTAGATCTTATGCTCATGAGGTCTTAAGTTCATAAGCTTATTTATTGTCACACTTCCAACTAATCTTGAAGCAACCTTTATGGCCCTCAATAACATGAGATTCATATATGAGATTCCTTGTTGGTTTGAATCGGGTGATTGCTCATCTTGTTGATAGAAATCCACCACCTTATGTGAAACACATGTATCATTAAGCTATTTGAAGATAAATTGAAGAAAAGAACCTTTCAATGAGGTATACATCAAAAGCTAATGCCTTTTCGAGTTCTAAAATTTGGAATAATGATGGTTTTGTAAATAAAAATTAATCAATATCACTAAATAAAAAGTTTGTAAAGTTTGTGGCTACTAAAATAGTGGATGTCAAGAGCTTCCATACTAAAAAGAACGAAGTTTCGAAGTCAGAAAGATAGAAGTCTAGTTTTATTCAATGTTGAAAGTGCAAAGTTTGGACACATGAGCAAAAAATGTGTTAACAAGAGAGCTATAGCGATAAGAAATGTACTTGATTTCATGATGAATGTGAGAAGCATGATGCATAGCATGAGGAAGAATTTGAAGGATGAGTATATTGAAGAAGGTAATTCCATATCATTTGATGACAAGAATGATATTCAATGTCAAAGAAAGGAAGATAAATTTGAATATCAAAGGAAAAATTTGTCTTATTAAAGGAAACTCATGCAACTCGGTGAATATTGTACAAATGTGATAAGTAGTTTTCTTGTAAAAAACTTCATGTTGGGATCGCACAACAATACACACTCGATCTAGATGAACACCAAAGAACAGAATAGAAAAATGCAAAGAGAACTCTGGCTAAAGATTTATATTGATGATTTCAAGTATGTACAAGAGAGAATATAGAAAGTACTCGTATATATAAGAGTTTAGCTTACTATATTTAATTTTATTGGATATAACCATTTACTATTTATAACCGTATCTAAGCTATAAATAAGCCGTAGGCTGCATAACTAACACTTCAATTTGAAGTGAGTTCAATGCTGAAACCAAGTTTAATGCTAAAACCAGTTCAATGCTGAAACCAAGTTTAATGCTAAAACCAGTTCAATGTTGGACAAATAATAGAGAACTCAAGGGATCTCCCAAACTCTGATTCCTTTTATTTTGGAAAGATATAAAGATGAAATTGTTTGTGATGTTATACTAACAACCTTGACAATATAATAAAAAGGTCACCTTTGATGGTTTGATGAATAATTATATTTTTACTTTGTGTTATATTACAACCACTTGAAATTAGAAGTGAAAAAGAGAGAGAGAGAAAAGTAGGGCAAAATAGTGAGTAAAAACAAAAAAAAAAAAAAATAATAATAATAAAATAAAATAATAATAATAATAATTTTGAGGAAAAAAGAAAAAAAAATGTGAGTTTACAACAAACAAATGTGTTTAGCAATAAAATCAAAATCTGACGATACTTTGTCAAGTGCTTGTAAGTCTCTTTTGCACGAATTCAATGACATATTTCCACATGAAGATGCACTATAAGGTTATTCTTTAAGTGGGATTGAACACTAAATTGACTTTATATATGAGAAACTCTCCAAGTATGGATTTCTACCTATAGGACCAATCTCACTGAGACTAAGAAAATTCAAAAGCAAGTGAAAGAACTCAGATATAAAAGTTATGTTAGAGAAAACATGAGTTCTTGTTCAGTTCTAGTGATTTTGGTACCAAAAAAGATGGCACGTCGACAGGTGTGTTGATTGTCAAGCCATCAAAAATATAAAGGTAAAGTATCGACATCATATTCCTAGATTGGATGAAATTTTAGATAAATTACATGGTGTTAATTTGTTTTAAAAAATAGATGTTAAATGTGGTTATCATCAAATTCAAATGCACCCGGGTGAAAAATGATTTTCAAAACAAAACTTGGGCTTTATGATATGCCATTTAGCCTTACAAATGCATCAAGTACTTCTATTGAAATAGTTTTTTTAGAGAATATATTGAAATTTTATTGTTGTATACTTTGATGATATCCATGTTTACTCAAAAAGCTTAAATGATCACATTTTGCATTATAACACAATTTTGCTTAAACTTAGAGAAAGAAACTTATGCCAATTTCAAAAAATGGTTACTCACGAGAAATAATGGAGTGCAAGTTGATGAATAAAAGGTAAAGGCAATTTAATACTGACCAACTCTCACAAATGCAACCGAGGTAAAATCCTTTCATTGGCTAGTCTTTTTATTGGAGATTTATTAAGAATTTCAGTAGCATAGCCTCATCATTAAATAAACTTGTTAAAAATTATGTGAAATTCGAAGGGAAGCAAAAGCAAGAGAATACATTCAATGAACTAAAAGCTAAATTAACTAATGCAGTATGTCTTGCTTTACATACATTTGATAGATCTTTTGAAAGTGCATGATATGCGAGTGGGATAGGTATAAGAGATGTTTCAACGCATGAAAAAGATCAAATCATGTTCTTTAGTGAGAAGGTTAATCGAGCACAACTTAACTATTCAACTTATGACAAAGAACTATATGCACTTGTAAAAGCTTTGCACGTTAGGCAACATTATTTGTTTGGAATGTTTGAAGCACCTCAAAATCCAAACGAAGATTTAGGAGACATGCTAAATGGACAAAGTTCATTAAAACCTTATCAAAAGAGAAAGGAAAACTTTAGTTTAGAGACAAATATATTTAAAGAAAGGGGATGATATCCAACCACTAATTCATTGCAATGATAAGAAGAAAGACAAGGAAAATTAAGAGGCTTTTACCTTACATCTTCAAAGGCTAACAAATATTTTTTAGCACAAATTTCTATATGTTAGTATAAAAAATCAAGAAAAGAATGATCTAGAGATGACTGGAAGGTCTCGTGGAACATGAAATTGCAATAAATAATACTAATTTTGGAAAAAACTATCTTTTTGAACTTTTGATGTCATAGGCCTTTATCTTCTTCAATTTTCGTTTAATAGCTTTTAATATAAAGTTTTTTATAGCAACCATTTTAGAATTTTTCCATTATGGACACTATTTTCTTCAATTTTCATTTAATAGCTTTTTATATAAAGTTTTGGGTGCCTTTTGTTCATTTTGTTTGGATGATCGTTTTAGCCTATTTAAAGGCTTTGTAATGCTCAAGTTTGGATCATCATAATTCAAACAAAATGATACTTAAGATATTGGATTAAAAGCTAGTAAATAAAAATTGAAGAAAAGAAGGTACATGATATAAAAAATACAAGATCGTAGTCCTTTGAATTACAAGAGGAGTGGAAAACGACATAACAAACCACTTATAAAGTCCAAACTCTGTTGTAAAGTCGTTTTCCACTCCTCTTGTATTTTTTATTAGAAACATGGGGCGAAAAAAAGGAAAGACATAATCTTTGTCTATAAGTTCTTCCACTTGCCTTTGAATTACCTTAGTCTCGGTGGGATTGGTCTAGTAAACAACAACATCTGGGAGAGTTACTCCAAGCATAAAGTCAATATGGTGTTCAATTTCTCTTAGAGAGGTAACCATAGAAATGCATCTTCGTGTAGAAATATGGCATTGAATTTCTGCAAAAGAGACACAAAAGCACTTGACAACACATTATCAGATTTTTGAAACCCCTTGCATTTTATGATTCAACTTGAGCATTGCAAACCTTTAAATAAGCTTGGTCTTCCAAGCAAAAGGGTAGTTCAACGACCCAAGACTTTATATTAAAAACTATGAAATGAAATTAGAAGAAAATATAGTCTATAACATGAAAAGTCGAAAATGATAGATCAACCACCATGAACTTGGTATCAAAAGCTATTAAATGAGTACGAAAGAAAATCAGGCATGTAACATTAAAACTAGTTCAACTTCCAAAGAAAATAAGAGGGATGAGATTAAAAAAAAAAAAAAATGTCTTCAAATTTATTTCTAAAATCTTGGCCAAAAAAATATATATACTTATTTGATTGTGTAACAAGGAGATACTCGTGGGTTAAGCCAAACTAGAATGAGTCACAACAAAAATGTAGGCGGGTCTAATCAGACTAAATAAGTCGAATTGAACTAGACGACCATATCAAACTAAACAAAATTGTCCGGATAAAACAACACACCAAACCAAAACTACAGCGAATCAAAGCAACATGTGATTCTAGGGCTTACGACATTCAAGCATTGAGCGTGCATCAAACGATCACCAAGGCACGATAGTAATTAATGGTGGTAACAAAGGTGGTAGCATAGAAGCAAACTAGTTGAGGTTAAGGATTTTTCCATCAATATAATTAAAATGAAGTCATGGCAAGCTTAGCAAACTTTTCCTTGAATCATTCTTTGAAAGAACCTAAATCATCCTTCCATAAACATGTAAGAAAAACGTAAGAAAAACGCTACATGCTCTCCTCTTTTAATAACTTCTTGCTCCGTCTGGTAAGACTTACGATTAGAATGATAATCAGATCCCTCTAAAGTCATCTTAGATGTGACGTACAATTAAAATATACCAAAACAAATACATTAAACAGAATATAAATTTAAAATTAATTTTATTGAACTAAAATCAAAATATAAATTTATTTTCAACTTTGGTAATAAAATTAATTTATGAGGGTAAAAATGGAAAGGTAAAAGCTTTTATATTCTAACAAAATTAATTAAATTAAAACATATTATGAAAATTAATATAAATCAGCACACACTTTGTTTTCTTTTAATTAAAAGAAAAATGAAAAAGAAAGCAAAACTGAGCCCACTTCTTAAAGCCCTAAATTTGCTGCACGCCATTTCTTCTTCTTTCACTGCGTCTCCTGGCTCCGTTTCAGCAGCTCAGTGTCGCCGACATCTCTCTACCGGTCACTGCTGCCACGGGCGTTGTCTTTCTTCCGCTCGTGCCGCTGCAGCCTCCCTCCTAGAAGTTTTGCACTAATTTTCTACCCCCTTGTTATACTGGTATCTCCCAATCTCCATCTATGCTTTTCATCTAATTTGAAAACACAAAAATTCGAACTTGCCTTATGAAGCAATGGAGGAATTGTTTAATTCTTTTTTTTTTTTTTTTAATAACAATAGCTGAATAGCAACGGAAAAAGGAAAAACATCCTTGCGGCAAATTGGAACTGGTTTGTGTTGGGCTGTTCTGTTTCGGACATGAATCAGTCATCCAGTTTTCTTTTAATTCCTTGCTTGATTGGCCGAACAACTTCAGTTTTATGTATATCTGTATAATTTTAGATTATTGTGGGAGAAGACATTGCTTTGAGTTTATGGAAAAAAGGGTATGAATAGACATATTTTTTATTGGAATACAAATCAATCACTGTGACAAGTTCGAACGTGATTAAAATATGAGTTCGAACATATAAGCTTTGTGTTCTATGAATGTGGATCATTTTTCTTCCATAATGTAAAATTCAACCACTTAATTTAAAATATAATTAAGCCAAAGCAATGAAGGACTAAACTTGTCACAAAAAGATTCTTCCTGTGCCTTATGTATATATATATACAGACTAGTGGAGAATGTGTTCTAGCTCTGCATAAATTGGCTCTTTCTTAATTAAATGCTAGTAGCTTGTTCTTGTATCGAGTACCCATTGCTATACAACTAGGAAATTGTTAGTCTTTGTTAGCCTGTATTTGTATTTTGTATGGCTTGATTTTTAATCTACAAATAATGAATATTGTGGTTGCAATGCTGAAATAAAATAATCCTAAGTTTGATATTTAGGTCCTTTCGTGTTCATGATAATGGAATTAGTTGCCTATGATTTATGCAAACTTCACTTGGCTGCAAATGTTGCTTGTGTAATTGCTTTAATGGGTCAGAGTTGTGAAATAATCTAGAATTATTATTGTCTCGTATTTTTTGATAGAATTTTATAAGTTTAGAGGTCAAGCCTTGATAATGGCCATTGTTGTGGATAGGTTTTAAATGGGTGTATCAGATAAAGATGCTAGGTTCTTAAATGAGGATACAATGGAAAATGATGATCTTAGTAACGAGGATTCGGATTTTGAATCTGAATCTGAATCTGGGGAGGAAGAGGAGGAGGTAAAATTGTCTGAACCATCAAAGACTGCAATATATAATGCTGATGGTCTCCTTGATAAGCTTGAAGATATTAGCTGGCCGAAAAACGTGGAATGGATACACAGGCTATGTCTTGATATTGATCAAGAAAAAGAGGTGGATGTGAATGATGATCTAGCTAGAGAACTTGCATTCTATACACAGGCTTTGCAGGGGACGAGAATGGCCCTCGAGAAGTTCCAATCTTTAGGACTCCCTTTTCTCAGGCCTTCAGACTATTATGCAGAGATGGTGAAGACAGATACTCACATGGGAAAAGTGAAAGGTCGGTTGCTGGCCGAACAGAGGAAGATGGAGGAAGCTGAGGAAAGAAGGAAGGCTAGAGAAGCAAAGAAGTTAGCTAAAGAGATTCAAGCTCAGAAGCTAAAGGAGAGGGCTAAGCAGAAGAAAGAGGAGATTGAATCAGTTAAGAAATGGAGGAAGCAGAGACAAAAGAGTGGTTTTGCCGGAGGTGATAAAGGTGGTGAGATGGAGTTGTCCTTTGAAGATGGAAAGGCGTTTGAGAGATCTGGTGGCAAGAAGAGGCCCGGGGTGTCTCCTGGCGATCGCTCGGGAGGGAAGGCGAGACACAGAAATGGAGGAAAAGGGAAAAATCTGAAGAAAAAGAAAGATTTCAGAGATTCCAAGTTCGGATTTGGCGGGAGAAAAAGTTTGAAAAAACAGAACACGGCCGAGACAACAAATGACATTAGGGGATTCAACAACGACAGTTTGTTAAGCAACAAAAGAAGGAAGAGGTCATAGATTAGTGCAGTAATTTGGTTTCAAGTTCATTGAAAATTAGCTTTTGGAAATTTTGATTAACTAGAAGATGTAAAAATCTTGAGGCTTATTATTAACTTGTTTTTCCTTTTGAAGAAATACTAATTTTTGTAGTTATTGTTATATTATGGGTTTGAATATATTATCTTGATGGATTGATATATGCTGGGTTAGTTTGTCTGAATTTAGTACGTGAGAAGAATGGAGGTTGTGAGGTTCTCTTGCTTGATTTATTACCATGAAAAATATGGAGACTTCGTGTACAATTGTATGTTCACGTGCATCGAGATACTTCCTTTTTATGATGAGTACGGATGCATATACTATTTTAATAAGAGGATTATTTCTTCCAATTCCCTTGTCACGTTACGAAGAGGAGGATTTAACAAGATGAATATTTTTGCATGAGAGAAACCTTAAGATACAAGTAAGAAATTTGGAGCCTTAACCATGGTAAGATCTTTAGAACATTACAACATAGTTAAAAAAAAGTTCATCACTAACTTACCTGACATACTTCAAAATTTCATGATATTATCTGTTAAACTTTCAATTTGGTAAGCTCAAATCATCATTTTCATGTACTTACCGACTACTTTAATTTCATATCTACGTACTCTATAGCAATGAATTTTCCTTCGGCACTACCATTTTCAGTATCCATAGCAACCTCGAAAATTGAAATGGTAACCTTTGAATTGCAGATCAAATTATGTTAAACCTAAACCAGCTCCAAATCATCAATACATTAGGGAGCATTCATATTTCATGCCTAATAAATTATATATTATATTTCATAGGACATTTGCGGTACGCCAAGCCTACCTTTCTTTGACAATAAAATGGCTGATGCATGTATGTTTGGCTACTTAATTAACAAAGTTTAGAAATAAATATGTCATCGCCCTAATTAGTGACTTGTGTATAAATGGCTTCCCTGCTACAAATCAAAATTCAATTGACCTTCGTCACTGTGAAACCAAATTGTAAGCCAAGAATTCTCTCTTTCTCGTTTATCTGATTTCATGATTCCTTCTCGTTTCTGGATCGGCCGTAGATTTTGAACTCGTACCTTGATTTTTCCTTGATTTCTCACTTATTTGTTATTGTCGTGATCAAGTTATTGACGCTGTCCGTCTCTATAGGCTTCTATTAATCTTCAGGCTCCATTTCTGATGGATTTTTGTATTTTCGTTGCTGCGTCGTTCAGATCTTTGGATTCTCTTCTCGACTACTCGTTTGTTTCGGACATTTTTCTCAATTGCATCTTTCAATGGTCTGAAATGAAACATTATGACAGTCCCTTTAAGTATTTCTCTGTTTTTACGTAGAAGTTAATGACGGCGAAGAATTTATGATTTCCATTTTATTATTTCTCCCCATCTAGTCCTATTCGAAAAGGCTGGGATATTCGTGGTATCCGTTTGTGTTTAATTGTTTGTTGTGTTTCGTATTTGCTAATGGCAGTTTAAAGCTTTCGATTATTTATTAGCCTTTTACAGATAAAAAATGGTAGAGTATATACAACATAATCCTCCAAAATACTGGAGTTTCTGCCTACTGCCTAAATCAACAATTTGCAATCAAGTTTTCTTTTGCGAAACGTATCTTTAAACATTAATCGAATTTCAGATATTTAGTTTTTTGTTTCCTGTGACAATGAGCTCCCCCGTTCCCTGCTTACACAACTGGCTTGTAGTAAATATTTGTATTCTATGATTTTCTAAAACTTATCTTACTCGTACAGGATCTCTTGTTGAGGATATAAGTGAAGAGGGAGAACTAATTGCGAGCAGAGAAAATGTCCTTCGGCAATGGAGTGAAATCCTGTGCAAAGCTGGTGAAGTCTTCAGAACCATTGTTGTTGAAATCAGGTTTCGTTACCTTGTTAGCCATGATGCAGATTTACTTTAACTTATGTTTTACAATTCCTGCATGTGCTCGTTAGTTGCAACAATCTTTCTCAAATTCATAAGAGTGTAGTTATAGCATACTCTGACATGATTGTAAATAAGGAAACAAGCAAACCATTAATTAAAAATAAGTGATGTGAAAGAAATTGCACAACAACGACAGTAATAAAAAGGAATCATTGAAGCATTGAACATCGCCGAAGTTCTATGCATGGGAGAAGATTAAAGCATCGAACACCATGGCGTTTTAAGAAAATAAATATGAAAAAGATAACAAGTTCCTACGAAAGTATTTATGGATAGTTCTGCTAAAATGGCTAAGTAAGACCTTCAGCAGGTTGTGATATAGGCTTTTTTGCCTATTATTACTTGGGCCTTCCTCTTGGTAACGTTCCTATAAGTTTTTTGCTTTTGAGATCTAGTTGTGGAAAAGGTCAAAAAATGCTTCTCCTCATGGAAGGGGAGTTTTTTTTTTTCTCCCTTCTTTCTAACGGAGGTAGACAAACTTTATCTGGTTTGTTTTTAGTGGAATCTCAACTTTCTTGCTCCATTTGTTTAGGGTTCTTGTTTTGTTCAACAAGAGATTAGAAAAGGGGTTGATGAGTGACTTCTTACGACTTTCTTACCGTTTGTTCAGCAAGAGCGTAGAAAAGTTTATAAGTGACTTCTTACGAGAAGGGGTTGATGAGGTTCGAACATTGATTTAGTCAAGTGGGAGGTTGTGGCCAAGCTGTTCGATCTTGGGCATTTAGATATTGGTAATTTGAGGGATCAAAACGAAGTCTTGTTGGTTAAAATGGTTGTGGTGCTTTCCTTGGGGTACTGCACCTTGTGGCATATGACTATTGTGATACTGTATACGAAGTCTTGTTGATGTTTACTTCCCGTGAAAATCATGGATACAACAAATTTCTAATTTTCTAGTCAATGAAGGATACTGTATGCTTTCATATTGGTATATTTTTTTAAAATGTATATTTTAGTAAACGTGTCCTTGCTGCGTCTATGTCCTAGTATTTTAGAAGGTGACGTGTTTCATCGATAATAGTCTATTCATTTCTACTAACTCATAGGGTTCATATATATATATATATGAATCAAGGTTTTTGAATCCTAAAAATGATGCTTTTGTGGCACAGCTAATCGAGGGTTTCACTCAACTGCTGTGAAGAGAATGGGAGGACATGCACATGGACACGATGAACCCTACTATTTGCACGCAAAGCACATGTACAACTTGGATAGGATGAAAAATCAGAAGTTGAGCATGAGGCTTGGAGTTTTCACTGCATTCAGCATAGGTGTGGGCGTTCCAATCTATGCAGTCATCTTCCAGCAAAAGAAGACGGCCTCTGGATGAAACAATGTGTGCAACCCAATAAGAAACATCGGTTGCACCTCAGTCAGTCCTCCTCTCCTCTCCTCTCCTTGGTTTTATTAACTCTGTATAAACCCTCATTTCAAATGCTGCATACAAACGTTGAGAATTCGGCCGAGAGTCGCTCCGCCGACTGGAACACGAGAATCAGAAAGTCGATTCTGTTTTTCTCAATAGTCTTTTCATCAGAATTCCATTATATTCCACATTTTGATCCAATCTGTTTTACTACCCAAAGATTTTTTATTGTTTGGGTTCATTCATTCATTCCTTCCCCGCATTTTTATTTAGTTTGCCCCTAACCATTTTCTTTATATCAGTGAATATGATATGTTGTATGGTTGGAGGAAATGATTACCTTGTAGATTTTCTGTAGTTTCTCTTAAGCTAATTTATCTCTCCCTTTTGTTTTACAAATCTTTCCCTTATTTCAACTTAGTAGAGGTCTTGTTAGGGATTGAGCTTGTTCATGTTGTGCGAGCGATTTTAAAGATAGGTGACTCAAAAGTTGATGTTTATACCAATACCATAGGAAGGTGCACCTCCTTCTTTTTCAATGACTTAATCATAACAATTATATATTTAGTTACTTTTTGAGAATTCTTCTAAGATGCATGTGAGTGAATATAAATAAAACATGTAAAAAAATCCATGCTAGAAACGAAATTAGAAGTAAACTAGAAATAATGTGACTAAGCACGAGCATTACATAAAAAAAAAAAAAATTGAGACATGATTCACCCTTGTTTTAAAATTTAAAAATTTATGTGAAATATTTTTTTAAAAAATTAAATTAATTTTGATAATTTAATTTTTATTGTTGAACTAAATTCAAATTCTTTTTTATATTAAAAAATATGGAAAGATGGAGAATTCAAAGAACATATTTTAATAAATATATTTGAATGCTGAATTATGTAGAAAAAAGAACGCGTGTTAGTATCCTAATTACCATTTGGCCCAACACAATGAGTAGGGTTTTATTCTACAAATTGAAACACAGCAAAGCCGAAGCAACAGATTTTCTCCCGCCACGACCGCCCTCCATCCGCAACAATCTTCTTCTTCTTCTTCTTCTTTCCGGTTAGGCTTCCCATTTATGCTTTCAACTGTTCTGCTTAATTGTGTTATTCAGCCTTTACCTCCATCTGAATTGAGGCTTTCATAGTTTCTTTTGGTTGGTTTGATTCCAGAAACCGTCGATGTTCAATTGCAAAAACATATTTGCACGTACTCAAACTATTAGGAACTGGTCTAGATGCAATTTCAATTCTGCTTCTTCTTCTTCTTCTTCTTTCAAATTCGAAACCGGAAATTATTATTCTGTTCTTCAGTCCTCTAGTTTTCAGCATTGGTTCAAAAATTGGAAAGAACTTCGGAAGCATAAGTTAACAGCAAGTACTTTTGCTGGGGCTATTGGGTTTTGGCCTCGTCGAAGGGCACAGTTGTGGTTAGAGAAACTTGGGGCAATTGACCAGTTTTCTGGTAATCTTGCAACTTGTTGGAGTAACATGAAAGAAGAAGAGGCCCTTGAGCGATATAAGCTTATTACAGGGAACTCTGTTTTGTTTCCTGAGTTTCAAGTCTATGGGAAAGGAAACTCGGAATATGATTGGTTAGCTGCTTCACCTGATGGTGCAATTGACAAGATGGTCTATGGATTGCCTTCACGAGGTGTGTTGGAGATTAAGTGCCCATTTTTTGATGGTGATATGGAAAAGGCTTCACCATGGTCTCGAGTTCCTCTTTACTGTATTCCTCAGGTTCAAGGTTTGATGGAAATAATGGATAGAGATTGGATGGATTTTTATGTTTGGACTCCTAAAGGTAGTAGTTTGTTTAGATTGTACCGAGATGCCGAATATTGGGAGGTTTTGAAAATTGCTTTGTCCGATTTTTGGTGGAAGCATGTTCAACCAGCAAGGGAGATGTGTAGTAAATATTCCATTACAAATCCCCTCATTGAGCTGAAGTCTCTTAGGCCATCACCCAAGCATGAGTTGTGCAGTTATATAGTTTGTGAAAGCAAACGGGTTGTTGATAATTCTGAGTTGCTCTTGCGTGAATTTAATGGAAGACTTCAAACCTGATGATTTCCAAATATTTAGTTCAATGGCTGAAATTGTATTTAGGAATCTGGTATTTAGAGTTTTAGAGCCTGAAGGAGTTCTTGTTAACATGAAAAGCCGGGGACCAAATGAAAACATTGGCAAAGAAAGCACATTTTGGCTTTGACTCGACATACTACTTTGCTTTCTGCTTGATGATGGGGCGTGGATTTGTCGAGAGGGTTCCTGTCACAACCTAATGTTGGCCCCTGGCCACCACACTAGGAAAGTTAACGATTTGCAAGTATTGCCTAGACCTGCACCCAACATGCCGTGGCACATGTCACACTTCCAATTCTCTCTTCATTGGAACCCAAGGACATGGTAGCAGCGGTTAGCTTCACTGTACAGCATGAAGGCCAAAGGGCCGGGGGAAGTAAGCTTGATGGCTTTCTGTTTGAAGTCTACTGATTTAAAAAATTTCATGGTTACTTTTTTCCTATTCTGTTAAAAATTGTGTGTGGCAATAGAGTGGAGACGATCTCCATGTTTGGTAATGGGTTTTCTGAAAGTTGCCCTGTTGGAGCTTGGATGAGGTATCTGTTTCAAGTAAGATTTTGTTTCATTTTGTGCCCAGATTGTATTTCATTTATTTATTTATTTATTTTAAATGTTCTATAAGATCATTTGTTCACATAAGCTTAAACGTTCACTATTTCATTCAACTGCAAGTTCTGTTACTAAGTCTGAGTATGGAGTTTGTTCTGCACCCGTATTTCCCAATGGTGGATTTTTATCTTCTATGATCTTTTATGGTAATTGAGCATAATTCTTCTTCAATTGATCAAAAGAGAGTTAGGTTTGAAACTCTTTTGTGTCTGAACAGGCCTCACTCTTTGTCATCAATTGGATTGCTTGCTTGAAGAGAGTATTGTCCAACGTCCTGGAAAAAGAACAGTTATATACTGATCTTGGTTTTCAGTTTATGCGGCCTTTTTCAGCTGCTCAAATAAGAATAGTTCCTCTTGAAGTTTTACGGATCTGTATGTCAACGACATTGTTTTTGATGCAGTTGTTGTTCCAATAGAAAAGCAAGGATTCTTTGGATGAACACTATCAAATCTACTATTTGGAGAGACTTTGGTATGATGAGAGGAACTCAAGGATCTTTGGTAGCTAAAGCTTGTAATACTCGTGGTAAGAAAGCTTCGTGTAGCTCCTTGGTAAGGTTCTTTCTAAGGTTCCTTATCTATCATATCTTAGAAAACAATCATAAAAAACAGGCCCAAAAGGAACTAAAAGTGAAACAAGAATCTATGGTAAGATTATAAGATATGAGTGGAGTAGTGACTAAAAACAATTATTTTTATTATTTTGGATTGTGAATTGTGATTGATGTTTAGTTCAATGAAACTTCCTAAAAACTATTCCATTCCGGATAATATTTTTGGTGGACTACGATTTTGTATGATGGCGGAAGTCAGATTGTTTATCTATGGGAGTTACCTTGTAGTCTAAATTCCTTGGAGATATAGGGTTTAGGGTTTAGGGTTTAGTTTGCCTTTTGCTTTGATCATATTAGAGATGTTTCGTACTTGTTTCTTGGTCTAATGGTAGCAGTCTTGATCAAGTTATTGTCTTGTTTCTCGTTTTTTCTCGTCTTGTTGGTTTGGTTCAATTTAGAGAAGACTTTCATTCTTTTAACGATTGTTTCCACCTCTACCATCATCCAAATGCATAAAAATTGTTGTATTATTGATGAAACTTCTACCTTAGAGGTTCGAATATATAATGGCTTTGAAATCATTTTTTTTTCTAAAAAATTAAATTACCTTTAGTTGCACTAAATTTGCCATCGACTCTAGATGATTGACGAACATGATAGGTGCCTTAGTTGTACTATTATTATATACCTAGTCATAAATGTAATTATTTTTGGATTATTATTTTCTATACAAAGTTAAGCTCCACAAATTTTATAGAGATCAAAAGCTTTAATACTATATGATATTGGAGACGTAAAAGAATCGGACAAGAAATCCCTTGTAAATTTTAATCCCTTGTAACTTATCATTAAAATTTACATTTCAGTTTGAATTAACTCAAAGGACTATGTTAGATATGGATTATCTTCAGATCAATCATCTAGAAATATAGAATAATTTCTACTCTTCTACGCTTGAATCTCTCCACAAGTTTGATTGAACTCCCTTGTTTGAAAATATATTTTATGATTAGAGAGGCTAGAGTCACATTTTCTCAAACAAAATGGTACCTCCATCTCAATATGTTTTGTGTGAGCATGGAACAATGGATAATGCACAGGTAGAAAGCATAGAAGTTGCCACAGAAGATCTGGGGTTGTTATTGATAGCACTCGAAGGAGAATCTATTGTGCATATCGATGGAGTTGGGAGAAGTTTAATGCGGCATCTACTAATGGAGTTGGGTATGAGTCAATAAAACTAGGAATGAGTAACTTTAAGAAAATGGTTAGTGCTTTTTTTTTAGAGAATTGTTAGCCGAGGCTAACTTGAGTTAGGAAAATGGTGAGTGCTTTCTCCCCTATAAATATTCACAACAATAAATAAAATTGAAAAGTATAATATCTTAGGTTTTTTTAGTATATAAAGTAACTCTCCCTTCAAGTTGTTCTTTTTGCTTCAATTACTTGTTTTGGTGTGTATCAATCGAAGGTGAAAATCATCTGGTATTTTAGAGCAAGATATCGAAACAAATGTCATCACCACAAAAATTGCACCACAAAAATTGCAGGAGGCGATGTGACAACACTAAAAAGTAGAAAGGAGGAGAGTGTAACACTTTAGGGTCTGTTACTCACGAAAGAGTATTATGTAGCATGGTAAATAAAAACGTGTGTTAATTTAAAGGCACAAGGCGTGTGGATGCCATCGAGCATGGTGATGACGTTAAGGAACGTAAGGATAGTTTGACTCTTGCTATCATCTACCAAGCAGTTTTGGAAGACGTCCTTCTCATGTTGGCAGAGGTAGCATGGGAGACGCTACAATGCGTATGGGTGTGGAAGACGTCCTTCTCCTTGCTTCCTTGACCCATTCCACACCCATATGCATTGCAGCGTCTCCCATGCTAGACCTTGAAGAGCAATTTTGAGGTTATCTGCATTAGGATAGTGAGTCGATGGATGACTTTTCCATGAAGTAGACAGTGATCGTCATCAACATATGTTCAAGAGGC